AATATGTTTTGTCACATGCAAAATACACTTCAACTTTTTAACAATGAAATCTTCACCGTATGGATGATAATAAAGCAGCATTTTAAAAGTCTTGGAGTCTCCGTAGCCGATATAAGAACCGTGCGCGTCGAACGCTCAGGAAAGCGGTCCGAGGTAGTTACGTTCAGGCAGCAAAAAAATGTAGTTAGAGACATCGGATCTTTTTGAAATTTTAACACAATATTTCTACATATATATACATTCGAAAAATGTAAAAAAAAAATTTAATTTTTTAAAAATTGCAGAGTAGAAGGTCCCCTTAAACATTATTAATTTAGATCATTGAGCAAAGGAACGTTTATTATATATTGTATGAATCACACAAATTTTTGAAATGTAGAGCTCGTGAATCGATAAGTGAAAAATATTTTTTAAATTAAATCTTGATCACCTCATCTACGATTTTTATTCTTATGTAGCTTGAATTAGATTAAATGATGATAAAGAAATTCTTCGTAACTGTTGTATTTTACAATTATTATTATTATATGTCATTTTAATTTGACATTTATTTAATTTTCAAGGCTAATTACTTCGATGTAAAAATAGCATCAAATGATAGAAAATAAAATAATAATAATAATAATAATAATAATAAATGTGTATTTTATTTTTTTAAATAAATTATATTTAGAATAATAATAATAATAATAAAAATGATTTTAATACATATTTACCGACAATTTATTATACACAATCAAGTTTTGCTTCAAAGAATTAAATTATTTCAAGTAGTACATTCATAAAAAATGAATTCCCAGCAAATATTGCTGAGAAGATTATTTCCATATTGAATTGATAATATTATCATTTATAATTCCCTTTATATGTTTTTCGCAATCAATTAAATGTTTACATCTAAAGCGTTTCTTTATTTCACGTTCGTCGATTTTCGTTTAATATTTTCTTTTTCTTTCTGTCGAATTGAATCGAATCGAATGTAATCGAATCGAATGGAATTGAAATAACGTAGATAAATAACTAGGTAAAATTAGAATTTCATTACTTGAACTCGTTTAATGGAGGATTACATGTCACGCAGCCTCGCGTCTTTGATATTAGCTTTGAAAGTGGAGATCGTAGAAAGTGTGGTGTATACTTTGCACTTATGTGTCCACAGTTACGTGTCCAGTCTTACAGTTAAATAAAAAGCTTCACTTTTTCTTTTAATAGAAAATTATATAGAAGAATGAATGTTGAAGGGGCTAAATAATCGACGTGCGATTATTTTTCAAGTTGAATGAAAATATTTCTACACGTTTAGTGAAAGATATATTGGTATTTTAAATCTTTTCTTAAAAACTAAAAAATAGTATCTTTTTTTTCTTTCATTAATCCTAATATTGTTATCGCATTAATTATACAAGATAAGTCGAATAAAAATTGAATAGACAGTTCCTGTTCTCTATTTATCTTTCTCTTGCAATATAAACATTTTAATTGACGAAAATTCAGTAAAAAAACAAAACAAACACAAAATATTGTTTTTCTCTATAGAATCGTTATCATGTCAATTATTTAAGGCAAGTAAAAAACATAATTAACATTTTTTTTTGTTCAATAAAAATGACCAAAATAAATGGTTTCTCCGTTAAGTAATTGACTTTCGAAGACTAACCAGAATTTGAAGGAATGTATTTAAGTCTTTCCTTTTCTTTTTTTCTTTCAATTTTTTTTTCTCGTTTAATTTGAAAGGAAGAAGAAGAAGAAGAAGAAGAAGAAGAAGAAGAAGAAGAAGAAGAAGAAGAAGAAGAAGAAGAAGAAGAAGAAGAAGAGTTAACGCTGCGTTAACGTTAACATTAACATTAAAATTAACGTTTACGTTTAAGTTGCATTCGTATTAGTATACACACAAATACTCANGAAGAAGAAGAAGAAGAAGAAGAAGAAGAAGAAGAAGAAGAAGAAGAAGAAGAAGAAGAAGAAGAAGAAGAAGAAGAGTTAACGCAATTAACACATGCGTTTCTTACTGAGCAAACGCATCCGATGGATAACCGTAAAGAAGCTTATGTGCGTTGAAGCATTGGAGTGATGCCAGTAGTAAAACCAAATTAGTTACCCTAACGTCCATACACACATGCGGGGGTGTATAATTAGAGCGAGAAAGCTGACAAGGTCAAGTACACGTTACTTTGATATACAAATGCATCACTTAAATAGAGTATTTTTCCTTTTACCTTTTGCAGTTTTAAGATTCTTGATATCTTTCCTGAAATAAAAAAAGAAATAAAAAGAAAGAGGATTGTTATTGTTTCCTTGTAAAATTGAGCAACAGTTGATTATTACCTGTAAATGATATTTTTTTGTATTTACTATATGTAAAAAATGAATAACTACTGAAGAGATGGAAGAGTATTTTTGTTTGTTTGCTGTACTATTGAGCAGCAACTGATCTTCACCTATCAATCTTATCTATTCGTATATATATTTTTATTTATATATTTATTGCATGTAATACCAAAAATGAATAACTGAATCGTTTATTATAAAAGTGGTGTATGTTCACTTTAGAAAAAAAATTAAGAGAATTCTTAATTTTGATGTATTTATAATTTATGAAACGATTTAATTATTAAAGAGATGGAAGAGTATTCTTATTTGCAAAATAGATCAGGTAACTCGATATTTTTCTTTATCTATATTTTCTTTATGCTTATCATAATGATAAAAATGATGATCTGATAAAATTAGATCGATCTGTTTTCAGTGTTACACTTACGTGAAAACGAGTCTTATGTAAGTCGCATATGTATATATACGACATACGTAGAGAAGTATTTATGCATTCACTGAATCAGTAATATGTAATAATATTAAATGCATAAGACTTTTTATTGTTGAAGAAGCGAAAGTAGTCCCGTTAATGTATTTTTTATTTATATAGTTTTGTACGCATTCTTACGTGACCGTTCATATCACCGTTCTATTATTGATAAAGTACTACACGTATATGTTTCTATGTATTTACTAATGTTTGTTACGTAGATAGAGCTTGAGTAAATTGACTGAAGAAGCGGTTTCTTTATTAAAAGCAATTTTTCATATTTTTATGAATCACTCATTCAAGATTTTCTTCGTTTCCTTTTCAAGACGTTAACGATTTTATCTTTTATGTTACACATACATAGATAGATATGTATATATAAGTAAGCACGTATGTGTACAAGCCAAGAAGCAGCTTGGCTTCGTTGGTACGATCAATACTTAAAGACGGTGACCGTGCCTATCATTGTCCTACTCTACTTCTTTCAACTTGTTCAAATTATGTATATGTAGGTATATCAAATTTGATACATGCGTAAATGTACCATGTAATACGTATGTGATCTTTGATCCCTATACAAATTATTACACTTTATCGCACATGAATGCATACATAAATGCATCGGTAAATATAACTTAATTTGGTTAAACAATTTGTTATAATTTATTGTCTAATATAAATGTGGAAAAATTAATTGTATCATTCATTTGATTTTATTCAATATTTAATAGTATCAAATATAAAATATTTACAATCAATTTATTAAAATAAAAAATAGGTAATATATGAAAAATCAATTATTTATAATATAAAATATAATATAGTATATAATAAAATAAATAATTATTTTTAATTTACAATCAGTTGTCATAATTACAAACATGCAAATATATAAGAATATGTATGCATTATACTAAAAAGTTATATTGTTGACGAAACAAACAAATGCTTGGAAGATCGATTGATAATTTGATCTGTTTAAAAGATAATCTCTTTAAATGGGATAAAAAGAGAAATAATGAGAAAATCGGTAAAGGATGGTGAAGGAAATGAGAGTTTTGGAGGAGAGTCGGAGTCGTGTTTTTTTTTATTCTCATAGATCTCTTTCTCTCTCTCTCTCTCTCTCTCTCTCTCTCTCGCATTTAACGGGTTCTCTCTTTAGGACTACTAGGGATGTAGATCATTGATCGTTATCTGTATACGTCAGGGAGACATTGCACTAGTTCACGGTCCTTGACCTCCCCTGATTCGGTATCGTACTTGATGAAATTACTTCTGCCAATCGACCAGATTGACGTATGGATTTTCAGCCTTTCGAATCTAAACGATCACTTTGGATTGATCGGATAAATTGATATTGACATCGTCTGATCTATGTGTTTCATTTAGTCTGTTATGTGATACTATTTCTTTGACAATTGTTCCAAGTTATGCTGAAATCTATTTTTTGAGATGATTAAAATTTATACGCAGTAGAAATCTCATCGTTTTGTGATTTTTATTTTGTATAAAATATTAGCAATCCTTATATAATTATTAAAATTATCAGATCTATCTAGTTTAGGATTATAAATTAAAAAACATTTCAAAAATAATGTTATTCACTAATAAGAAGTAAGATATAATCCAAATAAAATAGAAATGAAATTACTTTTTCAAACGAAATAAATATCTTCAAATTGAAGATCATTTCAATTTCAGATTATTTAAGGTTACCATCTTTCTCTCAATAAATTGTATCAAAATTTTGATCAATTTTTATTATAAAATTTCGTTAAAAATAAATATTATTTTAGACATATTTTTATTAATAATTAAATATTTTTAATTATAGATCTCATTCACTGTACAAATGAGCCAAACGTGTCGATACCACAACTCGCTAATCTTTTGATAGAACGATCGCAAAACACGAACTGGACGGTCGTTTTTAAAGCACTCATAACGGTACACCATATGCTTTGCTATGGCAACGAGGTAAATATTCTTTTTTATTTAACAAACGATTTCAACGATTTTTTGTATGTATTAAAAATTGAGATTACTCAGAATTCACTTGTTATATTTTTGTTGTTGTTCCAGAGGTTTACACAATATCTGGCATCGAGCAACAGCACTTTTCAGCTCAGCAATTTCCTCGATAAAAGCGGAGTACAAGGTGAGTGTATTTACTGAAGGGTTGCGAAAAATAATGGACTGTTCCTTTTTAACATCTTACGACTACCGATTCGACATTTTTCTTGTTTTTTTATCCTCGTACCGTAATCTCCGATACCAATAAAAATTATTTAACAAATAAAATACTTAATTATTTATTAAATTATTTAACAAATAAAGAGTTTGTGTTTCGTAACATGTTACCTAAAACAATCGGTGATATTATTTCGTAAGTAAATTCTGCAGCAATTGTAATATCGTTTATTTTATCCGATAATGCGAGAACGTACTAAACAAATTTCTTCTTCAAAACAAATGTGTCCAAATTTATTGTATATATATTTTGTATATTAATTATCATAAAATGTATTAGAATGATTATTGCAAATTTTACGATAGTAAGATGACTTATTTGTATTTATAATTTGTTTTGTTCGTTTAGCAAGAATTTATGTTTATTACCATTTTAATTATAATTATTGTTATTATGTATATATATATATATATATATATATATATATATATGTTGGCCGTATTGGAGTATGCACACACACATGGGATATAATAATAATATAGAAATAATTTTCTATAAATGCTTCAATAAGTTTGCGCGTAAATTCTTTTCTTTCTAACTCAAATTGCACACACGGGATGATATACATTCTTTTAATTTCCACATATCCTTGCATATACAAAAACATACATGCATAAACACACAGAAGAGAAGAGCATAGGAAAAGTAATGGCTATTTATAAACGATTATATCTACTGCTTCCTCTCCCGTATTGTTTAATAACACTTTCTAACTAACTTCCTAGCACTGAGCAACTACAGAACTATATGGGCAAAAATCAATCTTTCTCTTTTCCATGTGTCTGGCATCTATCTTTATGATTTACTAATTTGGATTAATTTTATCTCTGTTTGAGCACAGCAGGAGCTCGCGTCGGTAAGTTTATTTCCTTCGTACTTACAATCTCTTTTTTCTCTTTCCCTTTTTAACAAATAACATTTAAACAGGATGAGCCAAAAATTTTTAGTTAATTCTAAAATTAATTATTCTTTTTAGACATTTTTTAAGCTATTTTTTATTCAGTTAATGAAACTGTCAATCTGGTTTGTAAAATTGCAAGTATAGTTACACAATTGAATCGTTTCAAAAAAAAAAAAAGAAAATAATTAATTTTAAAATCACCTAAAAACTTTTGGATCTATCCTGTATATACCATCTATTGTATAATGTATCTACACTTATTATTTATTATCAGGCGTTTTTATTTTTATTTCTACTTCTGTATCTTAATAGTTTCATTGTTAAGACCAAACCATTCTAATTAATATGCGGTATTTTTATTGTTCATCAGGTTACGATATGTCACCTTTTATCAGACGATATGCCAAATACTTGAACGAGAAGGCTCTTTCATACAGGACGGTGGCATTTGATTTTTGTAAAGTTAAAAGAGGGTAAGATTCGTATTATTGTTTATAATATTTTCTTTACAATTTTTTCTTTTGAATTTCTTTTTTTTCTTTCTTTTTAGAAAAGAAGATGGCACATTACGTACCATAAACGCAGAAAAATTACTAAAAACATTGCCAGTTCTACAAGCGCAATTAGACGCCCTTTTGGAATTTGATTGTACAGCAAACGATCTTACCAATGGAGTTATTAACAACGCATTTATGCTTCTATTCCGAGATCTCATACGTTTGTTTGCCTGTTACAATGATGGGATTATTAATCTTTTAGGTAAAATATTCAAAATATTATATAATTATTTAAATAAATAATTGTATCTCGATTATTTACAGAGAAATATTTCGACATGAACAAAAAACAATGTCGAGATGCTTTGGAACTGTATAAAAAGTTCCTCATAAGAATGGACAGAGTCGGCGACTTTTTAAAAGTAGCAGAGGTAATTTAAATTTGCATAATTCCTTTAAATAAATTTTATTATACATTTGTAATTTGTGTCTTAATTAATTCAATTTTATTATTTTTGTTTAGGATGTTGGTATCGACAAAGGTGATATTCCGGATTTAACAAAGGTAACGCTTTTACAAATTATATTTTTATCAAATTTCTTTACTATGATTAATTTTTTTTATTTATTCATACTAAAATTGGAGTATAAGTAAAAAGTATTTTTATAGGCACCAAGTAGTTTGTTAGATGCATTAGAACAGCATCTTGCGTCATTAGAAGGGAAAAAGGGTTCCGCTGCAAATACGCCAACGCAATCAGCAAGGTATGTCAGCTTTCTTCGAATATTGATTTATTATTTACAATAAAACAAAGTAAAAAATAAATAAAACAGTGAATAAGGTAAATGGAAGAAGATAAAGAGAAAATAGAAAGAAATATTTATTTTTAACGTGTATATATGTATATATATACGTATACATATAACGTATATAACGTGTATATATATATATATATCAGATTGGCATTATTTTTACGTTGTATTCTAATGAATTATAAAGAACGATAAGATCTTCTTCCTGTATTTTTTCTCATTAAGCTTGCAATAATTTCTTCATTTAATTGCAATATATTAATTTTTACTAAGTATATAAGTATTACGTATATTAATTTTTAAATGAATATGAAAAATGATAAAAATATATTAATGCAAAATTTTAAAAACAAATTATCGCAATATTATATAAGAAAATATTTAGTTGATAAAATTATTGACCAAAAATATCATTAATTCCTGTCATTTGTCATTACTTTACGGCTTTGGTCCAGTCATTCGGTAATTTCGAATGGCTGTTCACCATCAGACATCTTCACTACTACTAAATCCTTAACAGAACAACTTAATTACTTACAAACATCTCTAAATCCTTCTTTTTTTAAACATAAACCTCTTTATAACTATTGTTTATTTATTTGTAGATCAATTGGACATGTGATAACACAGCTAATTTTCTTATTTATATATTTATCTATATATTTATCTTATAAAAAAACAATTTTTCTATCTATCTACCTATTTTTTCTCTCTTTCTCTCTTTCTAATTTTGCTTACATGCTTTTTTAGTTACGAGGAAATAGATACGCGAATTGACTTTTCGAGCATTTATCTTTTCGTCACAAAAACATATTCTAATCTAATATTCAAAATTGATATAAAAATTTTATTTAAATATTTTAACTTTGAATTGTTTGTTCAGATTTTTGTTATTATTGATAATGACTCGAAAAGTTGGATAATTTTTATATGAATATAAATATTTTTGTTTAGAATTTGAATTTATTCATTTTTTTGTTCGTACAATTTGTACATACATCATTTTTTTTTTGCATATTAAATCACGTATATCAAATGTCACACTTCGATAGGCTATGCAAATCTGAAATATGTTATATTCAGCTTTTTAGTTTTATTTTGCTTCTTATGTGATACTTTCAACATCTCGTATAAGAGATGATATATGTGCTGAAGAAAATATAATTGGTATATATTGAAAGAAAAAAGAAACGATTTGACTGGCCAGAGCCTTAATGTAATTGAGAACAATAATTTCGAATGGTAAATTTAAGAAAAATTACGTTATCCAATAAATGAATTTTTTCATCTATTGCTAAAATTATATCTTATCAATTTATCTTTATCTTATATCTTCCATGTACAAAAAAAAATAAATATTCAATAATAATAATAATAATAATAATAATAATAATAATAATAATAATATAATTTATTATATTTA